GAATAATTTTAATATTTTTAAAAGAAAAAAAATTATTAATTAAACTAAATTCTCATTTGTTGGTAATTTTATAAGAAATCCTCGTAAGTAAAATACATTTTTCGAAAATCTAAATAATTTGGAAATAATTACAACAAAAAATCTTTAGTAAGTTATGAAATAATTAAAAAAACAAATTGAATGTCAGTTAATTGTGATGAAGAAAGTACTAATAATTATAGTAAAAACATATTAAGCAATAGAAAATTACTTCTGAAATTATCGTTTGCTAAGTTAAGGTAAAGGTATGTTTGTTAAGAAAAGTTTTAAATAAAATATCAATAATTTGTATCAATAATCAGTATTGCGAATTTGTTTATATAATGTTTTATTATTTGTAATACAGATGGCGTAATTTCAATATTTAAATTCTCTATTGATTTTTACACATTATAAATTTTTTCAAAAAGAGTTCTAATGAGAAAATGAAACATTCAAAACACTGCAATTAACAACCGAAACGCCTTTTTTTTTGTGTTATTTTTTTTATGATTCGAAATGTAATAATGACTGGTTTCTGTAGGTGCGCGCTCTTTTGTGTTTGCTTTGTGTCTGAAGGTTCGAACGGTCGGGCTTTTCATAAATATTCATACACTAAATCGTTTTAGTCTGCGCGACAAAAAAAAAATGGGCCCTAATTAAACCCGAGTTCATATTTTAACCCTATTGTCCTTTGGACGACCCTTTTAAAATTATCATCATTTTCTCCCTTACACAAATGTTCGCAATTCTGACCTCGTCGATATTTTTCAAGTGTTATGGAATTGTCGCAATTACAGCGTGTTTTATGACCTTTTTCTTGTTTTCGTTTCATGTTGGTATTTATTTTTTTTTGGAAGGGAGCGAACGTAATTTTTGAGGGGATTAATCGGTGTGAAAAAAAAACTAAAAGAATACACATGGCAACCCTCCGGATTCTGGCAGGGAAGAATAATAATAATAAAAAAAGGGCACACGCACATAAATAAAGGAGAGCGTGTGCGTTGTTTGCGCGAAATATTTGCGCAAATAGAGGGCCAAAGTAAACATCGTCAATAATGCATTGAAGTGGGCCGTGATTTAAAGGGAGTGTTATGTTATTATTCGTGTTTTTTTTTGCACTTTCTTTTCGTCTCTCATTCCGTATTCCTACTTGAGATGTGTGTGTGGATGGATGGTATATGTATACATTTTGCATGAATGCGAGAGCGTCGCGACGTCCCAGAGATCATGGCTTGAGCCTTGTGAGATTCTGTCAGATGGCGGGAGGAGGCTGCGTGTGTGTGCACCAGCAGCAGTAGCAGCAGCAGTTCCGAGCCAATGCATTCGAATTACGCCTAGTAGGGAAACATCTCCATGGAATATATCAGGCACACAAACATGCATACATACCACCCTTCCGGAGTGCGTCTGGTGGTTGGTTATGGATGCAAAATAGAGAGAGAGAGAGTGGATAGCAGTGAGGATGAGAGAGAGTAGGATGAAGATGGGAGCCGGAGGCGGCAGTAGTTCCGGGGTCTTATCTTGCACGTCTCAAAACTCCCCAGACACTTTGAATATTCTGTCCGAATGTCGCGCAAACTAACTTATTTATTGTGGATTAGTTCCGAGAGCGTCGCCTAATCAAATTGCAATTGGGAAGCGAACGAGCGAGCTTGCAGACCGGTCTGCTCTGATTGATAAATGCAATTTAAAATTGTACAATCTAAGAGTTAAACTGCAGAAACGAGAACATCCTAGTCACTCCACTCCACTCCGCTCCTCTCCGGATGATTACGATTGCAAAAGAAATGCATTGACTCTTTCGATGGTCTTTAATTTCTTGCAAATTCATCGGAAACCTACTTAAATCTTGTTACGAAGAACTTGCTTCACTTCAAACTATTTCAAATGTTCCAGTGTCTTCACGTTTCCTTAAATATCTCAGCAATTATATATTTCGCAATTACAAGTTTGATTACTGTAATCATACTTAAATATTTAGTCTATAGCAGCGTTTTTCAAACTGTGAGGCGTGCCTCCCTGTGGAGGAAATTAGAACGTTCGAAAAAGCAGTGTTTTCACATTTCATTGACTTACTTGAAAACTATAATAGATAGAATGAATCCAATATATGCATATGAAAGCTGAATGTTGGGGGAATCCAGCAAGTATAGACACATTTCTGTGCTCTTATCCATAGTGCTGTAATACGCGTTCAAATTTGAAATAACGTTCGAAAAAGCAGTGTTTTCGCATTTCATTGATTTACTCGAAAACTATAATAGATAGAATGAATCCAATATATGCATATGAAAGCTGAATGCTTGGGGAATCTAGCAAGTATAACTGCATTCCTGTGTATTTATCGATATTGCTGTAATACGCGTTCAAAGTTGAAAAAACGTTCGAAAATGCAGTGTTTTCACATTTTATTGATTTACTCGAAAA